ATCTGTTATTGTATTGTGATTACAATTGCCTTCTTCTCCATTGATGCTCCTAATTTAAGATTACTGATTTTCTAATACATAATTAAAGTGAAATTATTTTTCCTACCATTACATAATTAATTTCTTCCTACCATTAGGTAGATACCTGAAAGGTTAATAAATTAAAAACGAATTTATTAAGACATTTAAACTGTTTACCTCATTTCTCACATATTTTTGACACCAAACATTATAAATAAATCAAAAAATATTCGTATACCAACTGAATTATATGATATTTCATTTTGAATAATAAAAGTACTTTTTTACAGGTTTATTTGGCATTGTTTGCATTGTTTTTTGTTGTTTTCTGTTTTGTTTTTGTGCGAGTTTAATAACCCACGATTAACCTTAAACATAACCTTAAACTACACACCATACTAGGGATGTACGATTCGAATCGATTATTATCAAATCGACGTGATTTTTATCAAACGATTTTTTGGTATAATCGATCTTTTTTTTTAAATCGAAGACCGATTTTATTTATACAGTTTTACAGGTTTATTTATTTGTTAGAATTTAGAATAAGAAAAAACACTTTAGTTTTGCTGGAATATTTGTTTGCAGTGCATCCCTAGTAAAAGGCCATCTAGCATGAACTGAAAAATTAAGTGTAAGTGCTCGCTGCCGCATGCGCCGATGTTTGTTTATCACTTTGATATCAGGTGTCAGATTTTTGTCGGGGCTTCCCATATTTTTATATTTTAGATAACGTAGAATACTCTTTGATTTTACCTTAATTCTTTCTTGGGTATACCCTTTCTTGTACTTTTATTTTATTTTTGGGATATCCCTACTCCATACATTAAACATTTAGAAAATTGATTTATCTATCTTTATACAACCACCAAAACGTTGACCCATAATAGTAATACATCAGTCCAGTAGAGGACGCTAAGTCAAAAAATTCCCAAATAAAAAATTGTAATTTGTAATTCCTTCAGTGTTTTCGAAATCGGGGTTGCGTCGGTTTTGAAGAAATGTCGAAGAAAACCCCGGACTGTCTACCATCAGCAGCCGGATATAAGTAGTTATTAAAGCAAGTTTTTTTTAACATTTTTTATTGTATTTATGAGTTTAGTGTTTGATTATTATCATGTGAAAAAATTTAAATAATATTTTAAAAGTGATAAGCATGTGATAGGTTTGTGATTTTCAGTTTAATAGATATTTGGTGTGTATGTGTTTGCGTATATGTGTGCTGGATAAAAACACTTTCATTAAAAGGGTAAGCTCTAACTAAACATTAAAGGTTATACTTGTTTATTGAAACGATTGAAAATATTTTCTAATATGGCGAAAAAAGAAGCTATAATTGTTAAGATTTATTTTTTTCAGTTTACTCCACTGTAAAAAGTATTTAAAATATTGCGCGTTTCACTAGAATTAGTAGAGCAATCTACACTAATATGAATAAAATTAATTTTCGTATTTTTTTCTGTAGCAACTTAAAATAATTGAATTTATAGATAAACATGCAGAATGTGGGTATGGTAGGAGATGGCAACGTTGCATTCTCTCCGACACTCTCTATGCCCGTTAAACGAATTTCCCGGGGAGTGAACAGTGGCACTCAAAAGTTTTTCAACATTTTCCGGAAAATGTCAAGAAAAATATAAAATTTTCAACATTTTTTTTTCGCAAAAAAAACCTCATAGGCGTGTTTCTGGGGTTGAACTATACTCCAGTTAAAATATCTGCACTTATTTCTGGGACACCCTGTATATATATATATATATATATATATATATATATATATATATATATATATATATATATATATATATATATATATATATATATATATATATATTTAAATAAGGGCAACTCTGGTTTAGGTTTACAGAAATTAATAGACTAGGGTTCATTTAAAAGAGCTTTTCTTCCTCAATAATCTGCGGTATAAACTTAGTCTCCATATATTTTAACGTGGTAGTTAGAGGACGCTGTTTGGAATCTTACATCATATATTGCTTTTTTGCATAAAAGAATTAAATGGCAGAGCACAAAATTTTCAAGAAGTCAGCGCCCAAACTGCAACAATTGATAAGGTCAAAATCCTAAAACGTTTTAGTTTCATGTTAATGCCATTTAGTTATTATTTATCCATGTTCGTTCTAGATTAGACGGTATAAATAAACACCCAGGCATGTTAAATCTGGTTACCTAGCTGCCCATGGAGATATGCCGGCTCAGCCTATTCCTCTACTTAAGTAGGTGGTATCCAAGAGTGCTAACATTTTGAAAATGTTGTGCTTTATTTAACTGTATAAAAATAAATATAACCTGCTATTTAATTTTTTTATGCAAAAGTGCAATACCTTTTATGTTGCAAAACAAAGCCCTATAGCTGCCATGAAAAAATATGTGGAAACAAAGTTTATATCTCAGATTATTAAGAAAAAAAGGTCTTTTAAAACAGCTCTTGAACTCTTAAACTAACTTGTTTAATTCCGTTAACTCAAACAGGAGTTATTCTTAATTTAATAAAAACAAGTTTAACCTTCCCCCGCCATGTTATTTTACGAAATAAAACAAAATACGCTCTACCAGAAACATTACAAATTTTACATTGATTACAATAGCAATATTTAAAATACCTCTTTAAGTGCAAATATTTATGAGAAAAATCCTGTCTTCTAATTGGCCATAACAGATGCGCCTTCTGGTGGGCATTTTTTGAACTTGAAAATAATTTTTAGCGATTTCTCTTGGCCGATTTACTTTTTAGATGTTTTTCCCAAAGTTGTACGATATGTAATTTCTGAGGCACAGCCGGCGTCCATTCTTAGTTTGCCACCCGGTACAATATAATAAAATTCTACATATTATTATAAATTAAAAGCATAAAAGGCAAATGAAACGCAAATAGCTATACATACAGGGTGTCCCAGGCTGAGCGTGCATTAGAAGTTTCTAGAGAACCACAATATCTAGATCGGAGAATTTTTGCACATCATTGTTTTACAACGAGATCTATCGACTAAAAATATTTTCAATATGGCGGCACTTCCGGAAATACCGGAAGCTGACAGCAACTTTCTTATTTTAAACGGGTGTCCCCATTTTTTATTACATACTTAAATTATCTGTAAAATTTTATGAATTTTGATATTAAACACTCTGTATCTAACATGATCCGTTTTTGAGAAAAAAAATTAAAATTTTTCGACGAAAAAAACTACCTGTCAAAAAAATTTGTATAACCTAAAAGTCAAATTTAGTGATTACCACAGCCACTGTGACATATGTAAAGAGAAGACATGTGGCTATCTATTTCAAAAATTAAATTGTTCAAATGTCATATGATAATGGCGGTAGCTGTCATGAAATTGAGTGATTAAAAAATTATCATAAATTATTTTTTTCAAATGGAAACCCACTGTTTTTTATTTCACTAGTGCAAAGGATTTCCAATTCGTTACTTTTTGAGTATACATGTTCCTATACCTAAAATAAATCGTTCTCAAGTTATTTAAGATTTAGTTTGAAAACGTATTATTTTCTTGATTTTATCTAGCTTCCTTTGACGTTAAGTGTCAAACAGTCAGACAGTTTATTTCCACCTGTCAGAAAACGAATTATTTGAATTTCCTATATTATAAATACTGCCTGCCTTAAGAGTTTAAAAAGTGTATTTATAAAAATATATCTCGTATTTTCGCTCTTGAGTGATATCTAATAGTTGATAGTATTAATAATATACCGATATATGATCGAAAAAGAAACAGAGCAAAGTTGGCTCGAAAATGATGATCGATAACATACTGCTTTTTGAACAAAGTGTCACAATATGACATGGCCAGATCTATTGTTTTACATACACTTGACGTTTAAAGTCATAGGCTACTGGTTAAAATCAAGAAAAATATACGCTTTAAAACTTAATCTTAAATAACTTAAAAACAATTTATTTTAGGTATAGGAACATGTATAGTCAAAAAGTAGCGAATTAAAAAGCCTTTTCACTAATGAAATAAAAAATGTGGGTTTCCATTTGAAAAAATGATTTATTATAATTTTTTAATCGCTCAATTCCATGACAGCTGCGGTCATTATTATATGACATTCGAATAATTTCATTTTTGAAATAGATAGCCACATGTTTTCTCTTTATGGTACAGTGGCTGTGGTAATCACTAAATTTGACCTTTAGGCTATACACATATTTTTGACAGGCAATTTTTTTCCTCCAAAAATTTTAAATATTTGTTTTCTCAAAAACGGCTAATGTTAGATATAGAGTATTTAATATCAAAAATCGTAATTTTACAGAGAATTTAAGTATGTAATAAAAAATTTGGGCACACATTTAAAATAAGAGAGTTGTTGTCAACTTCCTGTATTTCCGGAAGTGCCGCCATATTGAAAATATTTTTAATCGATAGATCTCGTTGTAAAACACTGATATGCAAAAAATTTCCGATCTAGATATCGTAGTTCTCTAGAAACTTCTAATGCACGGTCAGCCTGGGACACTCTGTATACAATATGATAAGCCTATTGGACAGATGAATTTTCGAAAAATGTCAGCCAATAGCATTGCCGAATATCGACACGCCGCCGCGCCGATCCGCTTTTTCTAGGAAGATGTAGATGCACCCTCAGAGAAGTTATTTCTCAACTGTTCGCGAACTTATACGAGCACGATACGCGATCTCCCAATTGTTTTGCAACAAAACATAAGAATTAGTCTATAGCGCCAACTCACGATACCCTTTTTTTGTACGACAAATTTCTGCAAGACAATTTAGTACTGAAAATTTTCTTGCAGAAATCTGTCCTACAGATTGGTTACAGTATAAATGATTTTACCGTTGGCGTTATTTGTTTCTTATTTTATCGAGAGATGTCGCTATCGATTCGTGACAATATTTTCAAAATCATTATATCACTGATTGTTGTTTTAGATAAGGCATCTAATGAAATAACAATAAATAATTGTATATTGTTTTTAGGAAAATTATGTCGCTAAATGGTTTTATTCTTAAGTAGATAGTGGTTAGAATGGCAGGAGCATGTCTACCAAAATCTGATAAATTTGAAGAAATCTGCGCAATTAGTCGAGATCCTGAACTTACTAAACAAGACTGTACTAGCCCTAGTCCAACTGAAACTGTGTGCATTGTAGATTCTATATGTGGAGAAAATATCCCAGGTAATTTTTTTAACTACTATTATACAGGGCGTCCCAGAAATAAGTGTAAGTATTTTAAGGGGTGGTAGGTTTGGCCAAAAGAAACATATTTTCTCTTTACCATTTTTAAAATAAATTAATAATAACCGAGTTAATTAACTTTGAAAATTAAAAAAAAATAATGGCAACGTTTTGAGAGCCGCCGCCAGCAATCGATAATCAGCCGCGAATACCAAGTAATTACCTGGATTTCGGCTTGTTCGACGCCCAGCGTTGACACATCGACATGAAAGGTTTACAAACGACTTGGAAAATTCAGATTAAAAGTAAAAAACGTATCTAACATTATAAAACGGTACTCCGATAGATAGCAGATCGATGTAATTAGGTTAGAGTTACCGATTACAGTGGGACTGTGTGCACCGTCGCTCACATAGCCCACCCAACAAATTTGTTAGCAGTCTTAACTTTTGATGTTTTTTACGTCAAAACTAACTGTCGCAGTGGCACGTGTCGGTACACGGTCAAGTTGGTCCTTGGCCCAATCTATCGACATACCAAATTTGATTTAAATCGAACGATTTTTTCTAAGCCTTAGGCTCTCCTTACTACCTTTCCTTGCGTCTGTCGTGTCACGACCTTGATTTTTTACTCCCAACGCGCGTAAAGAAGTTTCACTTGTTTACTGCCGATTCAGCACATAGCTCCAAACTAATAGGTGACCTAAAAATATCAGTCAAGACTTGCTTATAACCCATAGATAAACCGAATTATAGAATCGAGAGTACTAATGAATAGCTAAAAACCCTAGATCTAAAATCTATTAAAAACACGTGTAATATCTCTCTTATCTTTTTATCTACTTTTTAATTAATTTAAGAAAAACTGCATGTATTTTAAATTATAACTGAACAGGTAACAATGCAAAACCAGGCAAATACCGTCAATATACCTTAAGTGCCGGCTACACGTACAAGCTTTACCACGAGCTTACACTGCGCAAACCTGTTTGTATCGGGAACTCGGTGTGTGTCGACGGTAAAACGGTAGCACGCACAAACCAACAAGCGCGGCCTGCGTAAACATCGCTCTGCTAAAGATTTTAGTTTGCGCCTTTGTTTGCGCAAACCAGTTTGTGCGGTGATATCATACATGTAGACGGTATCAGCGAGTTCAAGGTACAGTTTTGTGACTTTTGTGGGTTTTTTGTAATTAGTTATTAACTCTTTGAAAATGTCTGATATTCGTACTTATTCCAATAAGGAGTTTATGACGAGTTTTATTGAAATATATTGATCGTTGCCATGCCTATGGAAGATAAAATTGAAAGATTATTACAGTTGAGGGTTGGAACCTTTGGTGTTACACAGCAAAAAAGAACACTAAATCACCACAATACACCAAAACACTTCTACTTTTACACTGGACGCGCGTTTCGTTAACCATGTTAGCATCATCAGCAGATGATTATAAACTAAAGTACAATCTACAAGTTGAGCGTTTATATAGTCGCCCAGTAGGTACCGAGTGGGCGTGGCAAAATCTAGCCAACCGAGTCAGAGCCAACTGAGCGTAACAGTTAATTTCCGCTACTAAAGTAGTAGGAACAAAGAACTTGAAGGAATTGGACCGTTGACTCTGTTCATACTATCTTTACATTTATTAGTTCTGATGCTTTCATATGCATCTAATTGCTTGTAATTTGAGACTTGTTTAATTAATTTTAAATTATTAAGATCAATACAGTGTTCTTTATCAACAATATGTTCGGCAACGCAAGATTTATCCGGTCTACCATATCTTATCTGAGCTAAATGTTCTTTAAATCTAGTTAATATTGATCTTCTAGTTTGCCCAACATATTTCTGATTACAATCTTTACAAGAAATTTCATAAAACCCGACCTTTCCAGTGGAGGTGTTTTATTCTTTGGATTACCTAATAATTGTTGTAATTTATTATTAGCACTATACACAAGTTTATAATTGACATTCTTAAAAATTCCTTTTAGACCACGGGATAACTCTCTATCAAACGGTATTGAAAAATATTTAGACGTATCTTTCTCCACTTGAAAAGTCGAATTTTCAGAAATCATTAACCTATACCTACGTTTTCTAATTAATTTATCAACTAGTGAAGGAGAATATCCATTACACTCAGCTACATTCCTAATGTAATCTCTTTCTATTTCATATCTTTCGTTGGAAAGTGGGAAACTAAGTAATCTATGAACTAAGAAATTTAAACTAGCCATTTTATGTTCGACACTATGATGTGATTCCTTAGGAATATATCTGCGTGTGGTGGTATTTTTTCTATAGATATCAAATTCCAGGCAATTATTAGTCTGCTCATGAATAAATTAGCCAAAAATGGAGACAATGGATTTCCCATTGCTGTACCTTCCCGCTGTTCAAAAAAGTTGTTATTAAATTGAAAACAATTTTGTTTCATACATAACGATGTAAGCTCAATATATTCAATCACAGTTTTGTTGTCGAGACCATTTGCGTTCAGTAATTCCTTCAAGTAGCATAAAGTATGTGGAATTTCCAATTGTGTGTTTCCAAACTGTGATTGAATATATTGAGCTTACATCGTTATGTATGAAACAAAATTGTTTTCAATTTAATAACAAATATAATCATCTGCTGATGATGCTAACATGGTTAGCGAAACGCGCGTCCAGTGTAAAAGTAAAAGTGTTGTATTGTATTGTATTGGTGTATTGTGGTGATTTAGTGTAATTTTTTTTTTGAAAGATTATTCCGATAGAAACAGAAAAAATGATGCGTACAAGAAAATGGTTTTCTATTTAAGTCCGTTTTTACCCCACTTCGATCTATACCGTTTATTTTACTGTTTTTTTCTTTAATAATAAGTAATAAAGAACAATAATTCGTCACTTGACATTTCCGCGAACGGAACCACAAATTCAGAATAAAATTAATGATGAATGTACGCTCTTACTTGCATCGTGTGGACACCGCACAGTGTTCCTTCTGGTTTGCGCAAACTATACCGTGCAGGCAAATCGCTAACGTATAGCCGCCACTTTTAAGGTGAGGACCCACGAGGCGGCTTATAAGCGGCGGCGGCGGCGGCGTCGGCACTTTGTTCCTAGCCGCTTGTAGACGCTCGACGTTACTATATATTAGACCATTTGCTATGTTCTTAGATTTTATTTAAATCTCAAACATCGCTACTGATGTTTTATCCCGCTAGACTTACCATCCGCCTCAGTGTTCCGCGCCGCGTCGGCGAAAAGCCGCCTCGTGTGTCCTCAGCCTAAGTTGTCAATTTATGATACGCCCATGATCTGCCTATGATTTTATCCTTAGATTAAGAATAAAAATAGATAGAGCAAGTCATTCATAAATTCACAAAATCGAGGTGCCTACATCGTTTTATCGGTGAGTGCCCCCACTACCCTAGTTTATGGACAGCGGGGTAAAGAGGAAAGTGGTAGGGGAGTTTACAGCAGAAGAGCATCAAAACAGAATTTAACCTTGAGATTTCATTGATGAGTAAAGTAAAAGCCAGAGATATAGAAGTAGGTGGTTAGAGGCAAAGATAAAATATTTTTTAATAATAAATTTTAAAAATATGTTCATGCAATAAAACTAATAAATTATTATAAATACATAATAGTATAATTAAAAAGCACAAAATTCATCTTTTCCTACCTATACCATAAATATATTCGGTAATTTTAATTGGAAATATTAGCACAAAAACTAAAAAAAAAACAATGTTCTATAGTTTTCAAATTCATATTAGTAAGAGAGTAATATTTTGACCAAACGAATTCTCAATGTAAGGATATTTAGATACCATATAATTTTACATTAATTAGGTATTAATCATAACACGATATTAATAAAAAATACAAGTGTATTTTAATAATATATTTAGGGACTAAGTAAAAAATATATGTATAATATTCTTACTACTGCTACTATATACTATACTTACTTGCTACTTGTACTACTTACTTACTTGTACTACTTACTATATACTATTATTACTTATATATATACTATACTTACTACATTTATAGGTTCATACTAAATAAAATATTGTAGCCTGAAAAAAAATATATTTTGTTAAATGCCACTGTAAGGATCCAAGCAGAAACTAATTTCTCATTGGCTTGTTACTTGTTAACATATGTATTTGCATAACAAATAACATAGTTATAGCAAATAGTCTAAAAAAAACGGCAAAGGCGGCTGGGGAATGACGATTGATAATTTAGCGAGGTTAATCTTAAATTACACCATTTAAAAATCATTTTTACTTAATGTAAAAATAAATTACAACCTTAGAGCGCCTTTAAAAAATAGTACGAGCCAAGAAAATGACCTCTAGGGCTTGACCTCGCTGAAATTATCATATTTTCATTCCCCAGTCGCCTTTGAAGCCGTTTTTTTTTTCGATCGTATGGTTTCCTAACTTATTCAATCAATCAATCATTTATTTATTTCCATAAAACAATGTACAATTGTATAGGAATAGTCAATAAATTCTTAACGCTAACACAAATATATAATACAAAATACACATAAACAAACACAACAGATAATAATAAAATTATCATATACGTAGGCCTCATATTATAATTTGCAGGTATTCCTCCACACTATAAAAGTTCATTCCCAACAAATAATTTTTTAAATAAAAGTCTAGAATATGCGATTCCAATCACTATCATAATTTGTCTCTCAACAAAAGTAATTCTGTAGCTCTGCCTAGGATTCACATCTCTCACTATTTTGCATAGTAGCATTACGTCAATTTTAAACCTGATGTAAAGGACCAATTTCATAGGCACTATGTAATTAAAGTAACGACTTCCACACCATGAATATCTTCACTTCCTAAAACAAAATATAAACATGAAGTTGGTGAATATAAATATCTACATTGAGTATACATTGTGAGCAAAATAAAATTGACAATCAATGACATTCACCACATAAATTTACATTTTATAAAATTACATAAATCTTGCTTTCAAAGCCAACCCTAACGCTGTTTTTTTTCGATGGTGAGATCTTATACAACTATAATGTAATTTTAGTAAAATATTAATATATAATATATATATATATATATATATATATATATATATATATATATATATATACAAATCTATATACATATAGGGTAACACCTCTCATAGGACGCGAAGGCTCCAAGGAAAATGAAAGTGAATTTGTATGGCTTGATTGATTTCTAAACCCTCCTAACCTAACCTAAGCTAATTCTCATCAAGAAACCTAATAAAGAAGTAGGAAACCCTTCAGCATATAGACCAATATGCCTTCTGGATGTGGAAGGAAAACTCTATGAACAGATGATACTTGCAAAACTAAACCATGAGCTTGACAGGACGGGTGGCCTGTCAATAAATCAATTTGGCTTCGGAAAGGGAAGGCAAACTGTAGACGCTATTATGCAGGTAATGAAAATTGCCAAAGAAGCAGCAGATTATGCCCCACAAAACCGAAAGCTTTGTGGAGTCATCACGTTGGACGTTAGAAATGCCTTTAATAGCGCATCTAGACAATTAATTCTAAATAGACTTGCCGAAAGGGAAATAAATAGGAACTTGATTGAGATTATTGCGTCATACTTAACAGATAGACGAATAATTATGGAAGCTGAAGGGACCGCAAAAATTATTAGTGTCACTAGTGGCGTACCCCAAGGCTCAGTGTTGGGGCCAACACTGTGGAATATATTGTATGACAGCCTGCTAAACATAGATCTACCTAGCGGCGTGATGTTAATTGGATTTGCTGATGACGTGGCCCTAGTTGTTGTTGCTGACAATGAACATCTGTTGATGAGTAAAGCAAACATTGCCCTTATTAAAGTTTCTGCCTGGATGATGCGTAATAAATTAAAATTAGCACCGGAGAAAACAGAAGCTGTGGTAATTTCCACAAAGAGAAATATTTCTCCCGTAGTTTTCAAAGTAGAGGGTACTAGAGTAAAGCCGAAAGATACAATCAAATACCTGGAAGTGTGGCTGGACAAAAAACTCACCTTTAAAGGGCACATAGGCATGACCATTCTGAAAGCTGAGAAATCTTTAAGAGCACTACCACGTTTACTACCAAATGTTGGGGGCCCAAGAGCTTCGAAAAGAAGAGTCATGCTTGGGGTAGTCCATTCACAACTACTTTATGCCGCTCCTGTATGGATACGAGCAATATCAAAAGCCCAAAATAAAATAAAGCTTGCCCGATTGCAACGGGTTGCAGCAATCAGGACATGTTGCGCGTATAGGACTATCTCGGGAGATGCAGCCTTGGTTATAGCAGGTATTCCCCCGATACACCTACTGCTGCGAGAAAGACATGAAACATATATGGGCCTTCATAAACAGGAGGCACGAGAAAACTTACTAAATGCATGGCAGCTGGAATGGGAGTACTCCAGTACTGATAGATGGACCTACAGGATAATCCGGGACTTAAAACAATGGATTAATAGGTCGTATGGGGAAGTTGACTATTTTATGACCCAGGCCCTCTCCGGTCATGGATGCTTTAACAAATACCTCTATAAACGTGCTCGATCACAAACTGAGAGATGCTCATATTGCACAATGGAGGAGGATGTTGAGCATACTCTGTTCAACTGCCCACGCTGGGTCAATGAGAGGAAATATTTTGATGTGCAGACTGCACAAGTATTCACAGTGGAGAGCATGTATGCTGGACTGGTTGGCGGTAAAAAACTATGGACCGCGACACATGCCACGGTTAAGAAAATACTGAAGAAAAAGGAAGAGCAACGCAAATAAGCGAGGGCAGCCCCCATGTTGAAGTAATGCGAGAGCGGTTTCCAGCCTGAGTGGTGTTAGACACGGGGTGGTTTTTTAGTGGGTAGGTCCGCTAAAAAAAACCCTCCATATGTTCTCAAAATTTCATTTCAATACAAACTTCCAACAACAAAAATCCTTGAAACCTTCGTATCGTATGAAAGGCACCACCCTGTACACTTTGAATCTGTGTATACATCTTAGTATATAGTAATATTTTATATTACAAAATTAAACTGTAAATATATATGTACTTACATATTGTGACGGAATAGGTATCCTAACAAGATCATACTTCTTATCTCGTTATATGCAGGATCCTGATATCTTAATGTTAATTTCCTAGGTGATATTGAAACAACTGAAACACCATAAATCGCGACATAAATGGCTATGAAAATTCATCAGTTTTTAAATATTTTCTTCAATTCCTTATAAAAAAAATCAGCTGTTCTTGAGTTCTCTTTTGCTCGACTTTTTAATATTATGCTATGAATAAATCCTAACAGAGAAAACCATTTAATTTTTCTCTCACTATCTTTTAAAAATCTGAAATAAAATATTTATCTTAGTAATAGAAAACGTAAATATGCATTATTTTTTTTATAAATGTAAACATACCAATTATAATTTCTATAAACATACCAATTATTTGTATTCATAATTAAATACAAATATACGATTTTAAATCGGACAATATTGTAACAAAAATATAAACATTACTTCTTATTTATTTATTTATTTCACAAACGCCAGAGGCATTCAACAAAAAATACAATTTGAATAGATAATAGATAATATAAAAATTATACAAAATACAGAAATAATAGATTCCATAAACTAAAAAAATAATAATGAGAAAAAAAAGAACAAAGGCCAAGCATAGTCTACAATTCATTCTTGAAAACAATTACATTTCTAGCACGGTTTTTAAATATACTTAAGGAATTACAAAAATAATCCAAGTCGTACCCATTCACACTTCTGGAAATTCTATTTGCAAGGCAATTTTGTGCATAAAAAGTTGAATATGTTCTTAAGTGCAGCAACGATTGTGACCTCAGATGTCTTGGAGCAATGTGAAAGTCGAAATTTGCCAAACAATCTGGTGAATCGATACGATTCGATATTAGTTTGTAGAAAAAACATACAGCCAGATAATCCCATCTAAGCTCCAACTTTTGGAAGTTTAGATACTCTGAAGTCTCAATCATATTCAACAGAATGTTATTCTTACTAAGGAAGAAATTCATATATTTTAAAAACTTTTTCTCAATTTGGAAAAATCTACTTTTATGTGTTTCATAATGTGGCATCCAGATTATGGAAGAGTACTCTAGTGATGATCTTACTAGGCTGTTATATAAATATATTTACGACTTTGCTGAAAAATCAACAGGGGAGCCAATAGTTGGACAGTTCAAAATTTGCATACGATTTCTTGTTTCCAACGACGACGACGATGCACCACCCTGTAGACAGTCTGCGCTATTTATGTTATGCATATCATGAAATGTAATGACTCATTAGTCATTTTAGATGCATTAGTATTGCTATTGATGATTTGATGCATTGTCGTTGCTCTTCATTGTTTTTTAATTTTTTCTCACTATAGGTACATCGCAACGAAAATTAGATGAGGCACCTGATTTTTGCGATAAAATTGATCTGATAGATGAGAACGTTAAAAAGACATGTTTTCTCAATAAATTAGGTCTTATTGAAGAATATGATGAAGACGAAACTAGTAGAGAAGATAATTGGGAAGACTGCATTGACAATGTGTTGGACGAAATCAACAATGTAAGTGTAATATTAAATATAATTGAATTGTTTAAGTTTGTTATTAAACATAATATTAAAAATAATCTTATATAAAAATAATCTATATAAATATCAAAATTCTGAAACGTAGTAGTTCTGTCATATATTAAAAGTGAAGTGTGAACATAAAAGATAGGCAAAATTAAAGAGAATTTTGTTATCCTATTCTTGATGATATAAAAATATGTAAAGTTTATTGTAGTTATGAAATTGTAATTGTTTCAAATCAATGTATGATTCAATTTCTGTAAGGCCGATCCATGCACGATAATAATTAATCCCCTTTAAACTTTTAAAAATTTCCATACCGTTTTAAAGAAAATTAAGAAAAACATAAAAATATGGTGGAATTTTCTCTAAGTCCTAAAAATCAAAAGGCGTTTCTATGGAACTATCAATTCGATTTCATCTTTTGATAGATGGCATAGACAAAGGAAATAAATTTAGATTGGAATGCTCGGTTTCCCGCTAAAACGTGGAATTGTTTTGGGTAGCACACGTTGTACGGGATCTGGCACTGCTATAGCGGTTGCTAAGAACAACCGCAAACAAGAACAGAAAGAATTTTTTCTTGTCAAAGTCAGAATCTTCAAAATTTATAAAATCTTTCAAAATTTAAACCGCCCGCATTGAGAAATACCTAAAAGTGTTTAAAGCATCCATTCTCAAAGTAATTACTGCCATCTTGTAAGTTTAATTTAAATTTTAAATTAAACTTACTAAAATCCCTAATAATTGTAAAAAAGTGGCAGTAAAAAACTTAAGCTGTGTGAACTCTGAACTGCAAAAACCATTGTGGCATAACGTCGGTTTCTAATGTTCCATAGGTATTTTATACATGTCCTTATATAAAATAAAGTTTCTAATTATGCAACACATTGTGTTTTATTTATAAAATTTAAAAAATAATAAATATGAATAAATAATATATATTGGGGGACATAATTCCGGAAAAAGCCGAACCGCTCCGAAATTATCAAAAGCTACTGTTGCAAGAATAGCGCCAAATAGTATTTACATTGTCCTTATGGACACTGTCCAATCTAAACTTGTTTTACTTATCTGTGATAGATGATTATTATTAATTTTGATTAACATCATCATTTTTTGCTGTTGTTAAAATATCACATTTTCTGATAACTATCATCACCCTTTCCATAGCATTGAACTAAATAAATTTTGTGTTTCTTCAACATTTTAAAACAACAAAAAATATTACGTTGATTAAAATTCTATGAATAACAATCTATTAAAGCATGAAAACAAAGTTATATTACGATAGAAACGCGCTTTGATTTTCCTGACTGAAAAAATTCAAGCATATTTTCAAGATTTTCTTAATTTTCTCTAAAACTGGACGGAAATTTTGAAAAGTATAAACGGGATTAACCATTTTAGAACAAGCAAAACTTTTTATGAAGAATGCGTTTTTCTCAAAATGTCAATAATAAAAAAGGTTTTCCTCTTGTAAAGACAGTCCGGGGATATACTGTAGATTGCCGTACTGTTATAAATAGAAATATTTAATATTTTTAATTCTGTTGCATTTTAAGGATGATGAAAATAGCTGTGAGAATGATGAGTCTGTAAACATATTTCATACTGTAACACCAAGAAGTTCTTCTGTTAATAGAAATAATTCCGACTCCTCAGAAAGAAATTTAGTAAGTAATATCAGATTTTTATTATATTTTTAGTATCTACAAGTTTTGTGATTCTTAAATTGATTTTCCCTTGAGTTTTCACAAAGCCCATTAGTGAGAGAAGGGGGGGGGGAGTCGAAGGCGAAGTTGTATTTTAGTCTTTGACGTAGGTACAGTTCATACAAAATAAACTTGTAGTCATGTGATTAAGTTTGACCGGCACAGCGTTGCCCACTTTTATATATTTTCTTTTAATCAAAATATTTTAGGAAACAAAAATTTAATTATAAATATACAGGGTGAGTCTTAAATAAGTGCAAATATTTTCAGGGCTGGTAGATCTCGATAAAAGAAACATATTTTCTCTTTACCATTTATCAGATAAGTCCAAAATAACCGAGTTATTTAAGTTTGAAAATTTAAAAAAAAATGATTTTTTTGAAAAAAATTTGAGAGCCACCGGATTTTTTTTCTGTATTTGCATCCCTTTTATTGCCGTAACCATAGAATAAAGCCGTAACTGTGGTAATATCAAAGAAGAAAACAAGGTATGATCGATAGCGGCTCCAATTTCGTTAAGTTTGCGCATACCACCTGTGACATCATACGCCATACAAAAAAATATCCATATTGTTCAATTGCCACTAATAAAAAAGACCTTAAAAATTAGGGAAGAATTAGGACATAACCCCAAAAGTTATGTCAAATCATCTAGCTTGACATTTGAAAAATTACTTTCACATTTATTGTGTCATCTGTTTGACAATTTGGAAATGGCGCGCGGAGCTTGCCGGCCAATGTTGCCATTTATCACCTGTGACGTAGTGACCAACCTGCGAAATATCATACCTTGTATTCTTTGTATCATGGGTAATATCAGAGATTAAGAAATTATACCGTGGGGGAAAATTTGCGGTGAACAGGTAGTTCTAAAAAGTTTTCGAAAAATATACAGGGAAATTTAAAAGAAAATGCATGATTTTTAACATCTTTTTTTAGCGAAAAAAACCTCATAGACGTGTTCCTGGGGTCGAAATATACCACCCCTGAAAATATTTGCACTTATTTAAGACTCACCCTGTATAAACATGTATTATTTACAACAAACTCACCTTCTTAACAGCACTTAAGGATCATAAAGTTGCGATGAGTTTTTAACGGCTATTAAGCTATCTTGTACACTTCGCACTAAAAGCGGTTCTAAAAAGAACAACGTTTGACTGCAAGATCTGCTAGTAAACTTTTTCAAGCTTAAGTATCACAAAACTATTTAAACCAAAAACTCAAAATACATAATACTCATAATACAAAACTAAAGAAAATGTTTGACCGCGTTTAGATGTAAATAGCGTCTATAATTTATTTTAAGTCTATAATTCATTTTAAGCGTCTATAATTTATTTTAAGTCTATGGTATGAGCAAACATAGAAACTACTAATGGCTTATAAAGTTTTTAAATGATTTAATAATCAAATAACATTAGTGTATTCCGATTAATTAAAATCATTCTTTAATAAAAATATAATTATCTTAGATAATAAAGAAAATGTCGGTAACCACTAAAACTAGAAGTTTAAAATTTTATAGGGCAATGTTTATTTTAGATTCTTTATTACCTTATTCAATATTTTTAGACTCCATTAATGGGGAAAAGGTCGAAGGGAAAATCTAAAAGGGTTCGTTAAAACTATAAAACTACATTAAAGCGGAAAGTGATATAGTTTTTATATGAGGTCTTAAGTAAAATGATGAGATTTTTTGCTAAAGAGTTAATTACAGATTAACATATGAGTTAATATCTAATCTTCTCTCTGATTATGTTGTTAAATATTTATATACTAGGACTTTTAGTTACTTAAACATATATTGAGAAGTTATTTTTTTTTTCAGAGAAAACGAAAATTAGATGTAAATAATGGCTTTCCTAATAAGAAAAATATATCTGAAGAGCGAAGTGAACTCGGTTCTCCACTTCTTAATAATGAAAATACCCCCGGAGGGACTTCTAGCTTTCGTAGTGGTAGTTCATCGACTTTTGGTTCTAGAACTCGTTCGCTTATTCCAACAAAAGATAACCCTCCTCCAGAAATGCCAAATTGGTTACTACAATTTTCTAAATGGTCAAATGCTGAAAGGATTATGGCTATTAGTGAACTAATTGCTAGGTAAAAAATGATATTATCAAAGTCAATTTATTTTCAATGATAAGATGAAAGTATATTTTTTAATATCCTTATTTTAGATCTCTCAAAAAAATCCCATATGGGTATTTCGCCACTGCAAGAAAATATACAAAATAATTATTTTTTGTAAACACTGCTGCGTTAATCCAAACGGAAACTACTTGACAGCAATTAGGGTTACAGATATACAAATTTGCCTAATGAATAAAAAATGCTTAACGTTTCGGAAAGTTTATCTTTCCGTCGTCGGAAGCAAAAAAAAATAGAAAGAATATTTTATTAAAAACTTTATCAACTCCAAAATTATAATAAAAGAAACGATAGCCTCTAAAAGAAAAATAAAAGAGGCTTTTTTTAATACAATCTAATAAAAATAAATGTATTGCTGATGCATCTGTAGATGTTAGTAATGTATGGCAATCGCTTCTTTGATTTTAAAGAACATAACATAAATAAACAACATACGTAAAAATTAAAAATAATCATACAGAAAGTTTGGGGCTTTTTGGTTTTACCTTATTAAGTAATTGTTATCAGGTAGTAATTGTTACTTTTGAAGTTTAACTTGATATAATGTCAGACTTTAACAGAACGTCAACGGTTTTTGTAGATGTATCTGTTTTAAAAACTAAAGTGTTCTCGAATAGTTGAATTTAAGTATTTTAAATTGTTGTTTTTTTCTTTATTTTTTGTATTTTTTTTTGTTCGTTCGGCAAATTTGTATATCTGTAACACCAAAGCTTCATTCAGAACCTCGCAACTAGTGGAAGGAATTAGTGGTTTCAATTAGCGTAGAAGTTTGTTCCTTTAATTTCAATCTCAGCATTCAGAACGTTAAAATTAGTGGTAGTAATTTTCAATTAGTGGAAAAAGTTAACAAACTTTTGACTTTTCCACTAAATATACTTCAATATTTGCGAGGAATGTCATTTTGGCTTTTGATTATCACCCGTCAAGAAAAATTTTGGTTAGAAATCAAAAGTTTATTGTTTTATAAGCTGCTAAATATTATGCTTTCTCTATGGATACAAGAGACTACTGCAAGCTGTTGCTAGGATATTTTATTAATTTTAATTGTGTTTTTTAGACATTGTGAATGATCGTAAATTAAAAAGTATAAAGTGTAATTGAAAACACTAATTTATTCCACTAATTGGGAGGTTCTGAATGAAGCTTTACTTTCATAATATATTCTACTTTTTGTATAAATTTGTTTCAATTTTTATTTGAAAATAACTAGTTTATTTTGTAGATTTTCTTGCAGTGGCGAAATACCCATATAGGATTTTTTGGAGAGATGAATCCGCCACATAGGTATAGACAGTATTAGACATTTTTTTTCTATTTTAGATGCGAGCCAACTCAGGTTCGCCATATGATGCAAGTAATAGAACCACAGTTTCAGAGAGATTTTATATCGTTGTTACCAAAAGAACTAGCTTTAAAAGTTTTGTCTTTCTTAGAACCTAAGGATTTATTAAAGGCTGCCCAAACTTGCCACAGTTGGAGAGTGTTAGCAGAAGATAATTTGTTATGGAAAGAGAAATGTAAAGAAGCGGGTATAGATGAAATTCCTCGAAGGCGATACCCACCTCGATCGCCTAGAACAAATATGTCTCCATGGAAGGTAATATGTCTTGAAAATTTATATATACAGTCATATACAGAGTTGTTTCACGCAGCTCGTTCATTAAAAGTGTTTTGAATGAAATTATAAACATATTTTGTGTATAATGTTGTATTTGGTATAACCTATGTTGGTATAACCTTTGTCGCTAAAAATTACATTTCTGTGAAATATTTTTTAGCATCAGTGTGATTTTTTATAATTTCATGTTTCTCGAAAATGTTTTATTGTGCTTAACTTCTTAAATGTTTACAATAATTTATGAAATATAAGGGTACTCACATAAAAATGTTACAAATATTTATTTATTTATTATTTAGCACACAGTTTAACAGATATAACTACCCATTTATTAGACATATAATAAATACAAATTGATAAGCCAAGATAATATATAAGAATTACATATTATACTACAGTCACACTTATATAACAGAAAATAAAGAAATAAAGTTAAGGAACAATCTAAGAGAATCTAAAGAATAATCTAAGAATAGAAAATAAAGTAACAGAAAAATGAAGTTAAAAAATTGAAACAAATTTATACAAAAAGAATTAAGTAGAATATATTATGAAAGTAAAGCTTCATTCAGAACTTCCCAATTAGTGGAATAAATTAGTGTTTTCAATTACACTTTATACTTTTTAGTTTACGATCATTCACAATGTCTAAAAAACACAATTAAAATTAATAAAATATCCTAGCAACAGCTTGCGGTAGTCTCTTGTATCCATAGAGAAAGCATAATATTTAGCAGCTTATAAAACAATAAACTTTTTACTTCTAACCAAAATTTTTCTTGACGGGTGATAATCAAAAGCCAAAATGACATTCCTCGCAAATTTTGAAGTATATTTAGTGGAAAAGTCAAAAGTTTGTTTACTTTTTCCACTAATTGAAAATTACTACCACTAATTGTAACGTTCTGAATACTTACATTAAAATTAGGTGAACAAACTTCTATGGCTAATTGAAACTACTAATGTATTCCACTGATTTCGAGGTTCTGAATGAAGCTTAACAAAAAATTAAAAAATTAAGCCGTCTTTCGATCCAAATCAGTGGACAATCCATTGAATATGTGACACATATGGTAGAGTGGTTGTCTTAACAACAGATTGTTGGAGGCTGTAGGTAGATAGAAAAATTCTTTATTTCTGGTTGTCACTGACGGTACTCGAATAGTTACATCACTCAGTAATGTCTCGCAATTAATAAAATTCCTAACCAATTTAAATAAAAACATTAAACATAGGTAAGCTCGTTTTTGTGTTAAAGTTTGACACTGGAACCTTTGCAATAGTAAGTTGTTATCGTAGCCACGAGCAGGGTAAGTTCCATCGATTTTAAAGGTTAGGTATTTAAGAAATCTTCGTTGGACACCTTCGAGCGCATTAATATATTCAGTATAAAAGGGGTTCCAGATTATACATCCGTACTCGAGCCTAGATCGTACATAAGCAAAGTATAAAGTATTGAGAGACTGAATGTTAGAAAAATTCTTGCATGTTCTTAATATAAATCCAAGCATGGACAGTGAAGATTTCGCGATATTGCGTACATGAATGTTAAAACTTGGTTTACCATCGAAGTATATACCCAGGTCTTTAAATAAATCAACACGATCCAATGCCATAGACTGCAATGTGTACTGGAATACAATGGGACTTCTTTTAAGCGTGAAAGACAGAACTTTACATTTATTTATATTTAGCGACAATCTATATTCGTCATACACCACTCCTGCAACACATTCAGATCCCTTTGCAACTCCATACAATCATTTGTTGTATTAACAGTTCTAAAAAGTTTCAAGTCGTCAGCGTAAAGCAAAGCTATACTGCTTAGTCAAAGAGTGATATCGTTAATAAACAATAAAAATAATAATGGGGCTAGGTTGCTGCCTTGAGGCACTCCACTAGTAGCTCTGAATGAAGCAGATACATAACCTCTATGCTCTACAAAAAGAAAGCGACTCGAAAGATAAGACTGGAAACATGTTAACAAAGCTATAAAAATGTAATTTTGTATAAAGTTCTTTATAAACTAAACACAGTAGTTTCCAAATTGTTTGCAAAAGAATATTTTCATTTTAATTAATTTCCCCTATGAGATCACTGAATATATTCCTCTAGACTAGTTCACTACAGAAATGAATATATTCCCCTAGACTAGTTCACTATAGGTAGACAAAAAATACTTATTTCTATTTAACTGGCAATAATTTAGTAAGCTAATAAGTCAGTATAGTGTGTTCAACAGTAATAAATAGTGAGAAATTTGTCATTTTAATTCTATAATAGTTTATTTTAATTTATAATAGTCTGGTCACCTTGTTCTCATAAAAGCCTTTTGGAGAAAAGTTTTGGGGTAGTTCTGATTTCTTTTGTTTATTATGTTTTTTGGGGTGCTGAATTCGAATCTGATGTTTGCTAACAAAAATTCGTGACAGAAGATAGAGAAAAATGCAAAAAAAGTGGGATCTTTTGCGGTTTTTTGTTTATAACTTTCAAAATATCAACTTTTCGCAAATAATATTTCTATTCAAAATTAAAATAAACATAATTTCCTATAATTTTTGAAGTTTTTTTTCTCTGATGAACTGTTCGGGCTCAACAGCCAGTTGAAAATTAGCGTTTTTAAATACCTACGAATACCGAATTTTGTACTCCAATACCCTTAATTTTTTATTAAAGTCTAGTATGTGTTTTTTTTTTAGTTTTAAGTTAAACGTTATCTAAACAGTGATTTCAACAATATACACCTTCCAACAACAAAGAAAAAATAAATTTTATTTTAAATAGGTGTAAATACAAGTACAGGTATCGTTACAGATGAAAGAATCCACTGGCACTTGTTAAAAGAGAAAAGTATAGAGCGCATTAATGGGCGATAATTCTTAAACTGTGCAATTTAAATGAAGTGAAAAACTAAACACTTTTGCCATAATGAACAACTGGGTACAGATAGAAAACAGAACTATAATTACAATCCAACCACACTTCCAACAAATTGCCATGGTAAAACTTTGAAGTTGACACGAGTTCGATACTGTGGTACATTCTTGCAATTCTTCTGTCAACGCAGTTGTTAATGCAGGGGAACACGAGAACAACTATAAACAACAACATTATAAATTTAAATGCTCTATGAATGTAATATTATACAATTCGTAAAAGTTTTTTTCAGGTTTTTGTCCCAGCGTAAGTTAATTTTCCGTCACGAAATTTTGTTAGCAAACATCAGATTCGGATTCAGCGCCCCAAAAAAACATTAAAAACAAAGCAAATCAGAACTATCCCAAAACTTTCTTTCAAAAAATACAAAAAAGTACTATAAAGATCTATAAAAAAAAATACTATAAAGATCCAAGTTGATGCAGTTGGAATACAAAGCGGGAACCTAATAGCATTAAAATTTCAGTATACAATGACTACTCTGAAATATGTATTATAGGTATACTCTGAAAAAAATCTGTATATAATACAAAAAATTGAGATCGGCTATTTTTAATTTATTTTAAAAATATACATTTTAATTAACAATCACAGGAATTAATAAAAGGATTTTTTTTGGTAATAATTTTCAAGTAATTATTTTTGTACTTTAAAAGTTGATTGAACTTTAATCTTTTTAAACCAATGCCTTTTGACCTTATAGTCTAAAGGTAAGTGTCCATTTGAGAGTAATTCGTGCGAGTGACTCTCGATGGTCACTCCAAAGAGAGTATCCATTTGAGAGCGATTTAAAGAATTTTTGCTATCGGTTAGATAACTAAAAACTCTCCAAATGCTTACTCTCATACATATCTGTCAGGAGGGTATCCATTTGAGATTTCTGTTTCATCAACTGCCTTTCTTTGTGTATTAACGTGTTTTGTGTTTTTTTAACCAATTTAGTTATTCGCTCATATAAAACATATATACAACACAAATAATGTACAGCATATACATATCATAGAAGATATGTCCTTCGCATCAGTGACCTGTTGTAGAGGTGTGTAGTTCGTGAACGAACTAGTTCCAATGAACTATTCCGACCCCGGAATGAAAGGAACTAGTTCCTGGTTTCTCAAAGTACTAGTTCCTCAGGACCTATTCCGGGATCGAGACTGTGTCCGATATAGAATAATATGCGACGGCGACGGATCGGCTAGCGCGCGTAGCCCGATGGTAGGCAGGAGTGGGGAGTGCCAGACGTACGATATCGGATCCGGACCTAGAGGAACTAAACTAAATAAAAGACTAGTTTACGTACGAACGGATTGGGCCAGCGCGATCGATGCTACGCAGGAGTGGGGAGTGCTAGCCTTATGCCGTATGTATGGAGGCTAGAAGGAGGAGGCGAATCGACAATGGGCGTATTTGAAATTTCTGTCCCTACATTAAAGCAAGTTTCTCGGTTTGACACCAGAGGCACTGTAAGCGGGTTAGATTGATCATTTGCATTGTTAGAATACGATTTAACTGTGTTTTTACTAGTTTTTTTTTTAATTTATAGTTATTTTATTGAATTATTAGCAATGTAACAATGAGTGTGATTAAAAAACCCTATATAATAGATCTTGCTTCGTACCTGGCTGTATAAGTGGGACTTACAGTGGAAAAAAGGTAAATAAAGAGCGGGGTGAAAGAAACCCAAGCCTTTTCAAAGGTCCTAATGTAAGTGGTATAACTATTTATTTAAAAAAATATGGATAGATGTCAAGAAAAACATTCAAATTATATACTATCAGTGTACAGATTAATTTTAAATTCAAATTAATAGTGAATATAGCCTAAAATCAACATCTACGTAACATAACCTAGGAGGCCTTGTTATAAAATAAAAATAATTTACCCACTAGCTGGTGACTAAAATTACCTGTTGATATGTATTAACCACCGAACAGTGCTATTGAGAAAGTGAATTTACGCCAAAGCAATATAGTATTCTAATATATAATTTACTTACCCGAGATGCTTCATTTAAATTGAAAAATAATGTACAGTGGTTGAAG